GTAAAAATACATTTATTGACCACGTCCACCGTATATATCCACCAGAATTGGAAATTCAAACCACAACAGACTATTGCACATCCGCCGCTTTTCTCGATCCTACAAAGAAACCAAAATGGACACCTTTCTATCATGCTGTATGATGAACGTTGTGATTCCAATTTTCTTATTCTTCCTTTTCCATTTCTGGATAGTAAAAACTTTGCATCTCCAACCTATGCTATTTATTGTTATCGTTATCACGATTTCCCTGCAAGAATCCGTCAACTGGCGCACAAACTTGTAACATAGAATATCGAAAGGTGCAGGTTGATGAAAACAATGGGGAGGTTTTACAGTCGTCATAGTGATTTCTTTGATAAATTACATTTCTTTGAGCGATATGAAGCTGGACGTATTTGATGATCGTTGCTTGCCGGTTTTGTTCCGTTGCCTGATATATTGTTTTCTGTTGTTCACATTATTAAACATTTATTGAATTTGAATTCTGATAATGATTATTTTGACATGATAGCATTTTCTTGTTTTTCGTAAAAATGTGGGTATTTTCTTTGTTGTTTGGTATATGAATGTGTAATTCATTCATGTCTTGTACAAACTCACAATATATTTGATTGATTCAGAGCACCGTTTATGTAGATATTCTAAATAATTGTATTTCCAGAAACCAGCTTCCATCTAATCAGTTGCTTAAGAATTGAGAAATTCTACTGGAGTTTCTGTTATAGATTATCGATTAGTTGCAGATAAATCATGTTTACAGATTACCACTGTGTTTCCAAAGGAAATATTTAAGAGCATTCTTGCATATCTCCCCCAATAAAGATGAAGGTGGGTGTGAAGAGTATCACGGGGGTGTGAAGAGTATCAAATGGTAACGAAATGGTCACTGTATATACACACAATGACATAAACACATGGACATATATTTAGATGATTTCAGGTAGCCTGTTACATCACTTTTTTCGGTACCTGGTTAGGTTCAGCATATATTCGCAAATGTCTCCTTGAGTCTTATACATTGACAATTGCGATGAATGCGTCTCATATGAGAATGCCTCATACAACTTTTTATGGACTGTGAGAACTTTTCTTTTCTTTTCGAGTTATTACCTTTAGCGTGGATAATTGACTAGGAAACCAATCAAGTTCAAACGTAGCACAATTTGTTTAGTACCTAAATTCACTTCTAGGGAGATGTAAGCAATACATATCAGAAACTTACTTAACCGGGCAGAGTTATAAATCTTTTGATCACGCAATAATATATTTTATCTTTCTATATATCTTACTTTTTGGTGTCATGTCTAGACATAACAAATCTAAGTCATTGACAGACATCGGTGAACAAGCGGCCTTCTCTATAATCTATACAACGTCTTAAATATTCTCAATTCATAAAGGCAGAAGACTCCTTTATTGCTATAAAAGACAGTTAAACAGTCTAACCAACCAACCTAAAATAACCCTGACCGTTACTAGGACATTTATCACCGAACAAAAAAAGGATAACGAGTAGAGTGTACCAGGCTGAGCCAGGAACCTGTCAATTCAATTAGGAAGCAAAGCTAGAATACTAGATAATGATATAAATGAAGTTGGTATTAGATAATTCCGTGACGTCAAAACCCCAGAGTAATATATGGTGTCAGATGGTATCAAATATAGCTCTCCATATCACGGAATGGACCTGTGTATCAGTAAAAAAATCCACAGCATATTTCATTTTAATTTCTAATTAACACGTGACCAAAAATTGGCATGATTAATTATTGTACGTGTTTTTTTGTGAACCTAACCTAAAACACCACTGTCGGTAAGGGAAATAACATAATGCATATGCAGATCGTTTCTCAATCTTCACATTGTTTTCTTCATATACAGTTGTGATGTAGAATATCTATTTAAACCTGACAACAAAACAACAAATGTGTTTGTGAAAATTCATATCCGTTTTTTAACTGATGTGGTGTTTCGCGCTTAAGTTAGGTTATCTCCTGTACCAACATCGATTGAGTTCTCTCATATGTGCCCAGATAGGGCGGAACGTTAACAGTTTGAAAAATGATTTGCAGCCTTCCAATTCGTTATCGGACGCGTATTTATATAATCAGAGATTTCAAACATTCTAAGACATTTTCGTTTTCCTGTAATTTCGTTATATTTTTATCGTATAAATGAATTCACAATGGATTGGATTTTATTTATGATAGGTGTAGATTTCATGTATTCACCACATGTACCTGATACACCTCAACACTGATAGTCTCAGATGACTTTATCTAAATAACTAACCCGTTCCTGTGACCAATATGTATAAAGTGCCGGGCATAAAATGACAGTAATGTAACGGGACGGTGCTGTTTCATATTTAACGATTCAGTACATAAACTCTCCCATAAGTACAGTACATTTTCATTAAAGCGCATACGATAAGAGCTGTTGGTTACATCATGCGAAACAGTACTAAACAGTTCTAAACTGTCAATGATAACCATATCATTAACATGCAAAATACAGAGTAACATATAGTAACATATAGCTTGTTAAATCAGAGGGAGAATACATAACATATAGTAACATATAGTAACATATAGCTTGTTAAATCAGAGGAACAGTACATTACATATAGTAACATATAGTAACATATAGCTTGTTAAATCAGAGGAACAGTACATTACATATAGTAACATATAGTTACATATCGTTTATTAAATCAAAGAAACAGTACATTACATACAGTAACATATAGTAACATATAGTTTGTTAAATCAGAGAAACAGTATATTACATATAGTAACATATAGTTACATATAGCTTGTTAAATCAGAGAAACAGTACATTACATATAGTAATATATAGTAACATATAGTAACATATCCCTTAATATATGGAAACATATAGTAACATACAGCTTGTTAAATAGGAGAAAGAGCACAGAGCATATAGTAACATATATTAACATATAGCATGTTAAATCAGAGGGATAATACATTACATATAGTAACATATAGTAACATATTCCTTGTTAAATCAGAGAAAGAGTACATACCATATAGTAACATATAGTAACATATGGCTTGTTAAATCATAGAAAGATTACATAACAAATAGTAACATATAGTAACATATATTACATACAGTTACATATAGTAAAATATTCCTTATTTAATCATAGAAACAGTTCATAACATATAGTAACATATGGTAACATATAGTAACATATAGCTTGTTAAATCAGAGAAACAGTACATAACACATAGTAACATCTGGTAACATATAACCTGGGGAGGGAGAATGCATAACATATAGTAACATATAGCTAGTTAAATCAGAGAAAGTACACAAAATATATAGTAACATATACCTTGTTAAATCAGAGAAAAAACACATAACACATAGTAACATATAGTAGCATATAGTATCATATAATTTGTTAAATCAGAGAAAAAATACATAACATATAGTAACATATAGTAACATATAGTTTGTTAAATCAGAGGGAGAATACATAACATATAGTAACATATAGTAACATATAGCTTGTTAAATCAGCGAAACAGTACATAACATATAGTAACATGTAGTAACATATAGTTTGTTAAATCAGAGGGAGAATACATAACATATAGTAACATATAGTAACATATAGCTTGTTAAATCAGCGAAACAGTACATAACATATAGTAACATGTAGCTTGCTAAATCAGAGGAAGTGCACATAACATATAGTAACAGATAGTAGCATATTGTTTGTTACATCGGAGAAATAGTACATAACGTTTAGCAACATATAGTAACTTCTTATAAGTGTTTTCAGCTGAAAAAAAAATTTCCGATAGAACAAATTTGATAAGTTTGTTTATATTCATTATTGAATACGATATTCCACGGAGTCCCGATAAATGCATAATTACCTCACTAATGAAGGAGATCCCTACCAAACTTGTCGGACTGACCATATATCACACAATTTTTGCAGTTATATATAATGCTTGAGTCCGATCATGCTTTGAGTGCGCAAAGCACATGTACTGATGAAAACGGCACGGAGAACCTTCTCAGACATTTTGGCGTACTTTTCGTTTCGTTGATGTAGCGTCGTGTTCACTGTTCTCATTTGAAAGCACGCTATTTTTAGGAAAATAGTCTTATTGTCAAGCTATACACTCGATCGTCCTGTATGGTAAAAAATCAGGATTAGATATTTGAGACCCATGCCTATTCATTCGAAGATAGATATTTGAGAGTCATACCTATTCTTTCGGAGATAGATATTTGACAATCATGCCTACTCATTCGGAGATAGACATTTGAGAGTCATGCCTGTTCATTTGGAGATCATTGGTTGGTAACATCAGCTCTACATCCCCACTATATGGTGTTAACATGTAGTTGTCCAATTAATAACCAAGGTATTTCCGATATCACGATTTTCTTGTCAGATGTCGGCAGCTGACAGACAAACTCCTGACATTAGAATTCGAGACATGCAGATTGGAGAAGGTCACGGAAGTTTTATGATCGTCATAATGCTCTCAGCGGGAATTATTCTTATTCCTTTTGCGATATGATGTCCGTTGTGACTGGTGCTGTTCAGTTAGCGGGAAAACCTGATATTTTTCTCCTTTTACGTTTTCAGCAGTCTCCGTGTAAATATTTCTTTTATTAATATTTTGCCCTAGTTTTATTTTGTTTGGATAATCAGGTTGTCAGTATTGTCTTTGTTGTTTTCGTAGCCCTAACCAAGAGGAGACCATTATTGCTACCACTGCTTACTACTGAAGGACGCTCAAAACTGTGAACCTGTTACCGTCTGAACTAAAACTGGTTGCTACTAATGCTAAACATTATATTATGATACATGTACCGAAACAACACACATTAAAATTCCACCAAATAGTGTATCCAAATTACGAGTTTGTTTGATGAAACATAAAAATCAATTAAAATTACCTTCTTAAGATCAATATTGAGAAAATGTCGCTTTTCTTTCACAGGTACAGTCATTTGTCGTATCAGCCCCTAACGACACGATTACAGAATCCAGGACGTGGTTGGTCCGAGGAGTATTCTATCAGCGCAACTAATTTCGATCCTGTTCAGGTGAGATAATAACGTTTCGTCAATAAATATCAATAGTTTTCGTGTAAGTATGTACGTACAACAATCCTACAATCTTGCTTGTATAGGTTTCAAGCTTGTCCAAGAAATATTGTATAACTTCAGTTCATTCCAATAGTGGTACGGATCTGATTATACAAACATGGGTTTAGATCTTAAAAAACACCATGTAAACGATAACAGATACAATATTTTCATATCCACATTTCTTCAAACTTTCTCCTAAATTACTTCTTCCTTGTTATTACAAAATCTGTTTAGTGTGATTACGAGGAAACAGTGTAAATGACCTCGCCATATCTGGATAGGAACTTCTTAACAGAGGTCATAAGATAACATGACTTCGGAGATTGGCATGAAAGTAAAGCTGGTCTATAAATCGTACTTGATATAATTAGTAAAATAAATCATTTTTAAATGTTTAAGATAGTTACGTTTTCGAAGAAGTCTTTTTTCATCTTTTTTTTTTTTTTTTTTATTTTTTACTTATTTTACACTTATATTGAAAATTGTCATAGTTAGCGATTTGATCACCATACGAAATAGATTTGGGTCGCCGTTACCCCTTCCGAGATTTTGTTCTCTGACCTTCCTTAGTCTCCGTCAATGTGATCACTTTTATGACACTAAATGACGTTACTATTAGGATTCTGAATATCTATCTACATAATAACCCTAGGTATCTTGATATTTTCATTTCTATCCTATATGTGCTGCTCTTGTGCTTCGTGTTCAATTCTGTGTGTCCGTCTTGATCATGAAAACCTGGCTGTTGCGTGACGAAAATATCATGTCCAGTAGTTATATGATGTTATTTAACGTATTTGAAATGACTTATTTTACAGCTAATCCAACTGGACTCACTGCGTCTCACTACTGGCAGCACTTTAGTACATCGGCATTACACCCTTGAAGACTTCAAAACTACACCAATATCTCCCAACTTTTTAGAGAGAGTAGAGAAGGATTTTGCGACCATCAGAGAGGCCGGTTTTATGGTTGTCCTGAGATTTAGTTACAAGAAAGGACTGATGGGAGAGGTAGGATTTCTCAGTATGTGTGAAAGCGGAATATTCGCCACATGCAATCTGGGCTGCTTGTATTATAGGTGATTTACGTGATTATGTGACTGAGGTGTTTGATAAACAATCAGTGCACCAATCCGTCGTATTTGTAGTATTTTAAGCTAACGATACAACGCTAGATACTAGTTTTAAGTTGATTAATCATATTCAAAAAGAAATTCAGACAAATCAGAATAGGTTTTTACGATGCTTGAATTTTTGTATCATTCGATATATGCTTTGCAACAATAAATACACGATTAATTACCATCTATTTAATTGTAAATGAGTAAACGATCGCTTTGCTTGTGTGTTTAATGATCAATAAAATACAAACGCAACACCAAACATAAACTGTGTCAAGCATATTAGGAAAAGTTAACAAAGTAAGGTGAATATTAGTATGTTTTACAGTTTCTACAATAACATTATTTCACCACAGTCTCTCAGTGGTGTTAAAGCTGACAATGCAAATTAAGAAAGTTAATTTTGAAATAAAGAATGCTTTTGTCTCCCAAATGCTTAGAAGTTCCCTTTGATATCTTCCGGTCAGTGTATCTAAGGCAGTGGTCGACAGTGTAGTACAAGCCTTGCTTGGAAACGAGTACGGGCATCCCGGGGTACGGGCATCCCGGGGTATAGCCGTCTTTAAACCTGTCAAACCGGTTTACATTTCAATATTGATCGCCCGAAGTTAAACTCACCTGTATATATTATATGAGTACAATTACCCGTGACCCAAAAAGAGTGCACTCAACTGAGAACCTGAGGACTTTGAAGTTGCGTGAAAATGATCAGTACTTCCCAGCTATACACAATTAAAAATATATATATATATAATTCAACTGATAACACAACAAACTTCCAGTAGTCCATCCCAACACACGTGCATATGCAACACATTAAAGTAACGACCAATTTTACTATGTCACTATAGTGCTTGAAAAATGCTGTATAACGACTATTTTTTATTTATGTTTCACAAGCTTGGTCGTGTAAATGTTTTACTAGTAAAACAAAGGGGTGGTGATCATGACCTCGAAGAAAATAAATGGAAACAGGAAAACTTAAAACGCAGAAATTTATGTCTGTACCATGGAAAAACAAGATAGGGTTTGCCGTAGTTATTCATTTATTGTATTTGCATGTTTTCCTCCAAAACACACGACTAAAGATGTGCAATTTGTAACTTTATTGATGTTAAATTCGGTTATTTTGCTAATGTTATTTATGTCTGAACAACATATATAGATACGTGTTCAATGTCGAATTCCATGTCGAAATCCAACTTCATCGGTCATTCGGAAGACAAAATGAAAGCGAGTAAATGTTCTTATGCATTGTACCAATTAGTTGCGTTGCGCCGTCACTGAATAATGATAACTGTTCGCAGGCCTGATATACACTAGGATACCTGTACACGTTTCCAAGCAAGACTGGGACTACAATGACCGTAAGCTATCGTTAGTTTAGGGTCTCGGAAGTATTCTATGAAAATATAGAAGGATTTTTTTAAACTTGAATTGTCAGCTTTAGTAGTATTTCTGACCATCCCCAGGGACAATATGGCGACGCCACCAAGGATATCATGAAAGTTCACATTTCCCAGCTGAAGCCGCTATTCTGGAACTATCGTGGTATCATATTAGCCGTTCAAGCAGGCTTTATCGGAACATGGGGTAAGCCGCTTTTTAAGCCTAAGATTTTTTTTTTCAACTGAAAATTATGCATACCATTCGGTGAATATGCAATTTCCTGTGCTTTCATGTTTCATCAATCGTCGTGCGCCTTCCGCAATCTTCCTTCAAACTTCTTCCAAACAAATTTGGTATGACGCATAATGGGAAGAAGGCAATTATTTGCTAAATAAATTAAGTAAATTTTATCATGGTTAACAAGTGGACGGGATAGAAAAGGAGAAATTCAAAAATGTGTGTGTGAATATGGAAATTATCTACATGTTTGCTATAAAAAGGTACTCAATAACCATGAAAATGGGTAATTAGATAATATTTTCATTAAACCTCTTCTCTGAAGATAAAAGGATGAGCACCAAAGGAAGAATAATTACATTTGGTCTGAAATCTCTCTGGTTAAGGGCAGTGGTGTTTGTAAGAAATATCCTCTTCCTTGGAAATGTTTGAAAACAGGTCTTATTGGAAATTTGCTAGTTGTTTGATTATCAAAGTGATAATATTTTCCCTACCTGAGTGTCTGCTGTCAGATGACTGAACTATCGGTAAGGTGATACCACATTCGGTCATATTTTACTGACAACTGACTTCAATCGTCCTGGTAGATTGTACATCTATGTTGTTCGCCCTGCTATACTACCATTAGGCTGTCACAACCTATTTTCAATCTCTCGATAAACCAGAGTTGCCAAAACACATTTTCAGAAAATGGGTTACTTTAGCCATGCAAGCAGTCATCGCCCGTCAGCATCAGATTGTACAATATCTTAAACTATCTTTCTTTTTTACGTTCAGGCGAATGGTATTATACAGATCATTTCGGATACCCTCCACCTTTGAACTCTGACAACTACAAAGATCGTCGTGAAATTGTTGAAAGCTTACTTGATGCTGTTCCAGATGATCTGTAATTATTGTTTTTTTTATATGTGTATAACCGTTATTTGTGTACAAATACATGCCCAATGCTATCTGCTATAAACTTTTAACGCTTTTTATACTTCGTCTATCAAGGCTATCTTTAATTATGATTTTACCGTGCTTAATTAAATTTTGTAAACGAGAAAATACATCTACTGGACAAAACAAGTGAAGGATCATAAAATGTTACGATGAGAAGATGATATATTGCCTTTATTTGTATCCCCAACTTTCTTCAAAGTGGTGGCAATAACGGATAGAAGGGCATCCCGATGGTATGTTATACCGTACTGACAAACTTCGATGGTGTTAAAAAGATTTATGCTGGATTCTGCTGAAATTCTTGGGTTTGATTTAAGTTATTCTCAAGCTGAGATTTCGTAATATTTTTGACATTTTTGCATAGTTTAACCAAGGGAACCATGCAAAGACATGTACGTGATATGAAAGAGGCACGGGAGTCACTCTGATTGTGGTCTAACAATTATTCAAATCTCTGTTTTTGTGAATACGTTACGAGATATTGATACAATATGTACTTGTTATCTGCTCTTGTTAGCAACGAACACAAATAAATCTGTATGTTTCTTGCCTTTATTGATTTCAATATATGTAAACTGTAAAATGTTTTCTTTAGGTTTTTTTAACATCGAAGTTGCTTTCATTTCATGATCTTCATCTGATTTGTTCAGATTGTTTTCATATCTTTCAAAACAAAACCCATTTCATATTTTGCTTATTTACATTTCATTCATTTAAACGTATCACTTAATTAAATTGTATGAATCATCAGAACGTGAAATCTGAAATCGTATGTCAGTTTGTTTTTTTCTCTTCCAATAAAGTCAAATTCAGCTCCGAGCACCAGTATTTAAACGTGAGATGTATAGCTATCAACCTACTTCCATCGTTGACCTGTTGCAATACAACAGAAAGCGAAACGTGAAATCACGTATAGGTGAGTAGAAAAAAGACATTAGATAGTACTATGTATTATTGTATAACTAAACAAGTTGTTTCAAGCGAAATCCCTAAATGTTATTTAGCATGGACGCTGTGTTTCATGAATAGTATGATTGTAACAAGAAATGTAATTGCAGTGCTATCAACATACTGAAGACTGTCGATAAGCTTAATCTTAATATGTATAAAACAGCAGTACGTGTAGGTATGTTTTTTATCTAGAGTTGGATATCAATCGAACATGTGGATGACATGTTTAAGGTTTCATTTTAAAGGTCACCATAACGACTGCTTCCTGGCCGATTCCACAGACCGCGGCACATACTCCAATTTCAACGTTGAGTTTAACTACATGCGAGAGGACACGACACATGTTATCATGGGCGGCGAGACATGCGCATTAGATAATGAGAGAGGCAGGCAAGACGGTCATGACTTAAATGACACATAATATTAAAAATGTTCTTGATAAATTACTATTATTAATTTGACCAACGTAGTTATTGCCTTTTACATGGAGGAATAAGCAATAGGTTGTATTGAAGCTGTTCTGTTCAATTATTCAAACGATCAAATAATGTCTTCATTACGATGACGGCATATATGTAATCAATCATATCCCCAGGGTATATATCATTGTACAGACAGAACATATATGATACATAATGATAATTATCGGTATTTTTTTATTTTCCAGAACATTACACTGATCTTAGAATATCCCCAAATTTTCGGCTTTTTCGGAGTTTTGTTGCAACACACATTTACTGAATTACAGTTTGAAAGAAATGATTGTTCTCCCTTACATTGGTAATTGGTAAGCAAATGCATAATGATCATTGCAGACATGTTTGCTCAAATGCTGAACAAGAACTTGAGGCACTCCACTTCACCTTCCTATCTCAATCCTACCATAAGGCAGTCCTTTCAAACTGGACAACAGACGGTTGTTATGATTTATTCGCAGCTAAGCTGGGATACACAATGGCTCTTGTAGAGGTAAGACTCATACAAACGACTAGAATTGAATTTTAAAAAAGCTTGTATTGATTGAGTTTCAGGTTTTGATACACCTTTTAGTTATTGGAAACACAACTCTATTTTATCTTGTATCACTCTTCCCTATTTTTAAAGTATTTATCAGTAAAATGCTTTGAGACGTATTCACATTACCTGTGTATGTGTGTGTTCCCATTCATCTTGCATCAAGAATTTTGCTTTTTATAGTGTCTTTAACATGTTTCTTTTTTGTCGTTACATATGAATGTTCTAGTGTGATTTATCTTTCATAATTTACTGTTTCTGTGTAATAGCAAAACTATTTAATTATTTTGTGCTTTTAAGGTTTCTTATTAAGCCTCAAGTTGATGGTAACTTGCCGTAAACAAAAGAATATATTCTGTTTATAAAATTTGTTGACATATTTACATTTAAAGGCTTCTCCAACACAATGAAAACATCACACAGAGCATTATTTGATCGTCATTAAGTACGGTGAAATAAAATATTTTAAGTATTTTAATTTTTTCGTTGCGACATAAATTTCGATATTTGCATTGTCATGGCATTTGCCAACAGAGGTTATTACATCCTCTCTCCAAGATTTACATGACAGATAGGATGTCTGCAGATAAGGTGTCCAGTAGCTTTATCCTGGTGTGCAAACGTTATTACATTTCCTGTTTACAAAAAGAACTAGGTTTGTTTGATAACGAAAGAAACCCCACCTTTACATCATGCAATCTTTTAAAAAGTAGAAACACTAGCTAATCATGCTTCGGGAGTTTGTTTATACATTATATGGAAACGAACCTCATCCATTTATACTGGATCCATAAATCTCACAAGAATCCATATAAACAAGGTTTTATCGCTGGCCCGTCTAGCTGTTCAACCAAACCTTTGTCAGAACTACCAATCACCATTCTAAGTACTATCAAGTCTGTATTACAGTGTCATTGGGATTTTGTTTACTCAAGGAAAGGAATTGATAATATGTGGATTTTGAGGAATTCCAAAGAAGTTTTTGAACAATCTTCATCACCCTATTCCAAATACATTTATGGTATTCGAGCATTTGATTGTTTCACCCAGTACACCACCATACCCTATTCTAAACTTAAGGACAAAATCATTAGTTATCTTGTTATATCCTTCTCCACTAAAGGAGATTGACGGTAAAATATATAGTTGAGAACTATACTGAAGTGTATTTCGTAAAACAAATACGTCAAAATCAAACAAAAATAAATACACGAAGAACGAAATCATAAAAAAATGATCGAGATTTTGTTTGAAACCATCCTCGTCGAATGTGGTGGTAAAACCTATTGGGAACTAACTGCTCCTTTTTGTAGACCAACTTGTTTTTGTTTTCATACGAGGCTGAAGTTATTGAAGAGCATATAAAATATGTCACAAAGAGTTTAATTACTCTTTCAAATCAATTGATGACGTCTTGACTTTAAATAACAAGAAACGTATTGACCAAAGCTTTATGATAAATGTAATGATTTCAATTTCCCTAATGTGAATTGCCCATTTCTGGATAGTAACTCCCTTCATTCCCAACCTGTGGTATTAACAAGTCATAGTTGATTCAATATTGAAGTGACTGTTCCCATTTTCGCGATGGTCGTGCAAGAAGTCGACAACTGACGGACAAACACGTAACACCGGGTTTCAAAAGACGTATTCGTTATAGTGATATCATTGGGAAACATGCTATTTCTTTGTGTGATTTGAAGTATAACGTCTATGTTGATCGTTACTTTGCCAGCTGGTTCTATTGTTGTATATCTTGCTCTCATTTGAGAACGTGACATTACTTACATGGAACGACCAAGGTTTGTATTGCTGGTTTCGTCGATGAAGCAGATGAAGCTTACTCTTCAGGAACACAGGGTCTTATTATCCTAGTACTTTTGCAGGAATATCGGTGCAAATAATTATTTTGTTCATTTTTGTGACCCAGTGGCATGGAATTTGAGTTTGGATTATGATTAGGTTGACATGTTGGTATTTTCATTATCTTTTTTACATAATACATAATGTTTTTATATCAGATGATTCCAACTACACGCATGAACCTGTCTTTATCCTTTTCAGAGTGTTCTGCCCGATACTGTTGTTCGTGGAGGAGAGTTTTCTTATTACATATTATTGAGAAACAATGGATATGCGGCACCTGCCAAAGATATGAACGTGTACCTTGTTCTCATGTCGTAAGTTTTTTTATATCTGCATCATTTAGTTTGGTTGTTAGCTTACTGCCCTATTTGTTCTAGTATAATAAACATTCGTTTGTTATTTGCCTGTACATTTTCAATGTTCGATAATATTTACCTTAATGAGCCTATGATGTAATAAAGATGATTCGTTTTAAGGTCCACAAACGGTATCTACAAGGTTCCCCTAGAAACTAACACTCGATTGTGGATACCAAACAAAGACATTGTTCTCCGAGGAAGCGTCGAGGTTCCCCGCTCAGTAACCCCCGCCTCTTACCAGGTACGAACAAACTATCGCTTCTGATTGACTTCCAATTCATTTTGTATATAAAAAGTCTACATCTGTCTATTCAAGACGGATTTCTATTTATTTCTTCATTATTTTATCTTCATTTAAAATGTGTAGATTTCCGTCTTTCTTTTATTATTTCAATATGAAAATATGAAAAAAATTGTCAAATATTATATCACCTTCTACCATTTTGACATGTTTAGCAAAATGCAATTTTCAATTCCTTGTAGTTGTATCCGTCTTAAATACCGGCATTCTATGGGCTGATGTACCCAGCAAACAACAAACAAGACAAGTATTGTGAAATTTTTATTGTAGATGTGGATGGCTATTGGTGACAAACAACTAACTGAGGAGTCCGACTACTACGTCCTCTTGGCCAACAATATGGTTCCATCTCCAGACATGGGTCTTAACAATCTGACTCATCCCATCACCGTATGTATGACAAAGAATTCAGATTATGGTGTGTTTGATAGGCTCGATCGTTGAATGGAACGCATATGTTTTTGTACTATTTATAATGAAGTATATTTACGAAATGAAACATTGAATACACACAAGTATACGAGGAAATCTTCGCCGAGAGGTTTGCCCTCTTCGCAGCAAATTTAGAACTCCTCATTTTTGTCCAGTATTGAACTTACCCTGTAAAGTAAATACACTTTAAAGTCACATATAATCCCATTATATTTTAGCGTATCTCACTAGAGACAGCAAACTAGCGTAGTCATTTTCACAAAATATCTTATGAACAGAAAATATGAATTGAATCAGATATTTAATTGCTTTGATGCGTTTTCACAGACACAACCCAAGGCATTCGTCCTCCTAAAATTATATTTGTGAGAATGCTAAACCCCAGATTAAGAAAAGCATAGTTATTCTCTTATTTGCAATATCTCCTATAGGTGGTAGAGGGAACGCCAGTGGTAACTTCAAATTGTCCATCCTTCGAGCCATGGAATCCACCACAGTTCGCTCGTCACCCTAGAATCTTGGGTAAGTTACGATGAATGGAACCCCAGAAATTGTATTGTTAACAAAATATCTATTATTGTTTTTATATCTTGTATGGATTTATTACAATTGTCTATTGACGCAAACGATTATTACACGTTCTGGCCACGAATATGCTTCAAGAGCGAAAAGATGTTCAGGTTTAGATAAAAGTTTAGATAAGGGAAAAGCGGCAATAACTCAGATTAAAACAATACAATCTTATTATTCATGAAATGGTGTCAGCTTGGTGTGACAATGATATAGAGTAATTTTATTAACCGTGCTAAAGAATCAATACAGAGTACATTCTGACACGGAACAATATCAAACATGCCTTATTTAAACATATACCTGATCTATCAAGTGTCCTTAGATTGCAAATAAACTTTCCACTATGACATGTGCGAATTTTTTCATATGGTTGAATAAATTTCAAGTTATTTGAATATTGCAAAAATCTGTGTCTTTATTTTGTTTGCAATAATCGACAACGGTTATATCTTAATTCAAATGTCTTAATATTGAAAATGAAGGATTAAATCGTAATGGAATAGCAGCAGTTTAACAGCTGTAAAGTTGTAAAAAGCTGATGAGATAAATCCATCCTTAATCGGTGCTTAAACATTATTACATGACCATTTTTATATCACTTCCCTTATCAGTCCGAGAGTCCTAAGTAGGGATGTTATATCAAAATGGTCATATAATCATCTTTTTATCAAATATTCGTTATCTTTAAAATAAACAAACCACACAAATCAATTTTTTCTTAACTCAACATTACAACAGCGATGACACACTATTTACTGATATTCATAGATACATATACTGAGCTGTTTACGTTCGCAGACGACAGATGCGTTTATCACTCATAAGGGAAACCAATCCGTAAACGGCACCATTCCGAAATTTAAGTTGGGATCTAAAAAACTTTTATAGGAAACAATTTTAAAAAACGTATTTCTTCCAGGCCAATAATATTTATGTTCAAATCAGACAGCTATAAGAGGAAGCGGCAAAATACACAAATTTGAGAGTGGGTGTGATATCACCCGGATAGGTATCAACTTGTGGGAATGCACATTTATCACGCATTGTGTTAAAAGTGTTAAAACTATATACGATAATGTTTCAGTATCGCATATAGTTGATAAAATATCACTTACATATGATATCTTTTCACTGTTATCAGGTAATGATATTCTTTGATGTGACATTACATGCTCTCTCATTTTTGGGAATCTACAGAAGTAATATAATAGTGATAGTTTTCTGTTCATGTTTAGTTTTGTTGTGCGGTTCTGAATTTTTTGCAGTTGTGCCTTCATCTAGTACATACTGTTAAGGAAAAAACTATGAAACTTCATTCCAGAAAGCAACGCTTGTTTGAAAACGAGAGTATTAAATCACGATTTCGAAGACTCAACCTCGTGGTCAGGACTTTGGAACGGTTTCCACTACCGTCAAGACGCCGCGCAAGCTTACAGTGGAAGCGGGTATATCGAGGTGGTAGACACACCTGAGGGAGGTGGTTCCTACCAAGCATTTACCTTCTTTGACAAACCGACAGTTAAGTACGTATACTTGATATAACATCATTTGTTTTATTCTTCTTGCACTGTATCATGGATCTTAGTCAAATTCTTCCTTTTCATATTTTGTCCTAGTTTCATTAAATCCGTGTTTGAATAAATATTTCATCGATTTTTTTAAAAAAAATTTCCTGGTCAATCCCCTTTTTATTCATACTCCATAGAGTGTTGTTTGGGGGATTTTTTGTTTGATTGTTTGGTTTGGTTTTATTTTTGTATTTTGGTCTTTGTTCGACCTTTCAGTCGTTGAAAACAGAACAACACAATCACATCTGGGATGCTGAAACCGTGATATCGAAATAAAGGGTCATTTGAAATGAAACAACTTTATGCTTATACAAAAGACCCAATTTTTAAGGATACAAATATATCACCACTTTCTCCATACAACATTGTTTCCGAGCAGATACTAGAATACCGTATTAGAAATCAGCCCGGTATGAGTAATTGTAGAAAATAAATTCCAAATAAAATAAGAACGTGAGGTCACTAATGTTTCAAAATTTAAATCTTCATTTCATGGTTTAGCAGTGACAAAGAGAATTTTTAAAAAATCAATAAGAAGTCAGATTTAGATACTGTAAAGCCAAACAAGGAATTCATAGTAATCATACAACTATTTCATTCTCTGAGGACTCATTGGTGACGCTAAAGACCTTAATCCGGGGGGAACTGCGAAAAATAAAAGAAAATGCTATGGCTCCAACAATCAAGTTGATCATTTTAGTAGACGAAATGTCGAGTCTTGTCGGTCAATTTTAGAGTATTTCCAATACTGTGTTGTTGATCACTTCAATAGGTTAGTTTTTTATTGTAAACCTAGCACTTGAACATTTCATTAATACTGTGTTTTACTTGTCCACAAATGTTGCAATAAGAAAAATAATGACATATTGATTGCATTATAAGTTGGGATCGGACTTGAATGTCTTTATATTATGTTTGAATTGTATGTTTTCATTATCAACGAGTATTAGAAATCCCCTGCGTGAATGTTGGAAATGTTGGCTGGTTAAATCATTATTAGAAATGTGTTAGAAATATTATTGCGTAAAATATTGGAAATGATAGATGTTTTATTGGCATCGTATATGATTCAATATTCGTTAAAATATTACATAACATTTGATTCTATCTTTGAAATGAAATTTCGAATATGTACTAAAATCCACATGTTTATTCGACTAGTATCAATTACCTTTATTTGCAGTCTAACAAGAATGGCAATAAAAGCCTGGGGAAAACATAGCGGATCTGTAGGCATGGGCAGTACCAATTTCAGTTTATACTGTGACGTCACGGTAAGCGCGTTTTACAACTTTACAACACGAGTCATTGTCTGCTTTCAAATAAATAATCATAATTGTGCTTCCATTTATAAAGAACCTCGGATTTTCGTGATTTTATTTAATCCACGATGATAAAATTTGACACATCGAAAAGAATAACAATAATCTACTAAGTGTATGTAAACTATATTGATGATAATGAGTTTGTAATCCGCCATCAAAAACGTTCATTTGAAGTGATTTCTGTCATAATGTCTGACATTTAAAATATCAATCAAAAAGATCATATACCTCATTTTTGTCATTGGTTTGATAATGTAAATGTCATTAATTTATCATTCTATTGTAATGTAATAATGTGTAAAACGTTGTAAGTTAACTTCGTCTTTACAGTTACAAGACGAATCTGGAACATATGGATTAAACAGGCCATTCTTAGGTGGACAACAGGGAACTACCTGGAACAGTGTTATAGTTACAATTGATCAACCTAAGGTGATTATAAACTGTTAAAATACACAGTGATTTCAGATACAAGTTGTAACGCGAATGCTCAATGCTGAGGAAACGGTTATACAATTGGTCATATATATAGGTTAGATGTACAAACCCGAAATAATATTATATATATATATTGTGGGAAGAGAGTTTAAGTTTAGTAATGGTTTTGTTAGGTTGGAAGAATTTTTACCGAATTTTCTTTTATCTTATTTTTATTTTATTTGGTTTTATAGAGGAAAGACGGGATTAAGTTATAAAACAACTGGTGTCATAACCCCGGAACAAGACCTAAATAGATGGCGTATTGGCAAAGCAAAATTCTAGTCATTATTTTATTGGGATGAACGAATGTTGACTTAATGTTTAAATCAGTAATTGTTTCGGGTTCAAATTTGCATAAATCAGTGGGAACAAGTATTGGAACAGGGATGAGTCTTTGATCAAACAAGTGGGCCAACACAGGTTATATGGCCTGTCTCTCCTTTTGTTTTCTATAACCTACACATATTACATGCTGAAAAGGATAGTCGTTACAGAATGTATGACATAATGCATTAAGTTTTTGTTTTAGATTGGATTTTTCTTACTGATATTTTTTCCATTACAGGGAATCCGGGCAGTAACATGTTACCTTCTATACAAGGGATATAATGGAGGTTCAGCATACTTTGACAAGGTGGACGTTTGGCTTCTCTCTGGAACCACCGGGTTCGAAGAATGTCAATACACATAAACACAAATAATGTTTTGATTCTATTAAAACCTGAAGATAAAATCTATAGAATATTACATTTGCCATCCAAATACGGAGCAATGAAACATCTTAATTCTGAAATTCTTGATGTCACGCCCGCATCATTTTGAGTATGTCTATAAGATACTATTTTTGTACATTAATTCTTATGTTTTCAGATCACATAATGTTATCAGGTTGACTGTAAGATCATTATACCTATACATATGTTGTTTAAATTAAACAGAAACACAAATTATAGATGGTTTTCAAGCAGTTTTCATTATTTGTATGGATAAACAAACCTGCTCCAACACTCTAAAACGTTGTTGGCATTCCCTTCATATGATATGTCTATAAAAAAGGTGGATAGTGTCTGCAACGAGATCGTCTCTTTAATTATTTACATTGTTTCAATCCGTCATTCATATGATAACCCTTACTTTGTTCAATAAGAAAACTTTATACCCTTATTTTCTATAGAAGTATTCATGCAAAAACGGGTTCAATATATGTTTTAATTGTTCAAACAAATGGCAAATATGTTGATTAAAAACGACAATGTACAGTTGTAGCGTACTCTAAAATATGTAACGTAAATATGACGTCACTTAAAAAAACTTGCGTCGGTAGAGAAACCGAAGAATTATACAGGTTGGTCATGGAGTATAAATTCATGGCATATTCATGTTCATTTCAATCAATACCACGTAAATTTGTATTGTAATAAATAAAGGTCTGTTTTACCATTTCAAAGCGTTATTTCTTTTATGAAGTAAAACAGTTTAGATCTTTTATCACGATGTTTAACCCTATATAATTCATTTTGGCATTAGCTTATACTGTGATAATTATATGTCGGTCGCTCGTAATTTACGTAATATTTTAGTACTGTAGGTCACAAGTTATACTATACAAACACCACAGTGCACTACATGGTTCGGTAGAAATGTAATGCAATCAGTCTCAGGATGTTTCCTATTATTATTTCATAACTAAAATACTTCATACATTAGAATTTAAGGAGACATGTTACCTATTTTGTTTTTCTAATTCTGCAAAATGTAAACGAAAGCAGCTCACATATTAGCAAAAGACTGGAACATATTGTCAGTGTTTTTTATATACCATAGTCTAGCACCTGATCGATTGTGCGATGTTTTTTCCCTTATGTTAAAAGCCCTGTCTACAGCATATTATGAGTAATTAATCTTTTTTGTACCTATTACAAACATGTATTGACTCAACCTTTTACTTTCACACAGGAAAATATTTATATTTGCATTAATATATAGATACAAACATGCATGCATGCACCCTCATATACATGCATGCAAACACACATACATATTCACGTACATACATGTACATACTCACATGCCTACTTACACACATACATACCCACACTTATTTATACATATATATACACAAACACACATACAGAAGTATACAATTAAATATAGAACACATATTAGTTACATATTGAGAGTATAATTATGATACAAAGAAACATGCATAAAAACTTTATATATACACACAAACATATGCACATGTGCACGCATGAATTGACCGAGGTACATAAGAAAGCACGCATGCTTATACATTTGAACAGACAGTAATATACCTTCATACCATATAACCCTATTTATTTAGAGTACATGCTGGTAAATTCAAATTCTTCGCACCTTACTTATAGGATACATATAAATATATACATATATTTAAGTTGTAATTGCTAAAAAACATAAGTAGAATACATTTTGTTTGCATATCAATGTACTGATACCTTGTTCCACTGCCAATGTTTTGCCTAGAATCTTATTTATTTATTGTGTCATATGAAAAAAGAAAAAAAAAAGATATGTTGAGGTTTCACAGTTTAGATATTTATCCGATAGACAGTCACTGTTTTCAGCTATGGTTTCATCTTGACTCATAGAGGATATTCTGTAATATTATTGACTTTATACTTTCTTATATTTTCTAAATGCTATTTCATCATGTATTTATCAGTAATTTGAATTTTAAGATAGATTTCGCTGAAGACTGTAGCAGAAGACGGAGAGAAAGGAGACAATGTCTCTGTTGGATCCCAATTCTGTGTACAACTCGCACAAAATAACCCAGGGTAGTATAATATATGCTCGATCTAATGGCAGATGGAAACACTATGTTTTTAAATGAATAGAAATGAAACAACAAAATAACTCTTCTAATAAAACCGTGTTAAATGTTTTGATGCCGCTAAATAAGAAATTCTTAGGCTTTCTCATTTCAAACGAAATAAAACAAAAAATGATAACTGAAAAAATATTAACAAGGACATCAGCGAAATGCTGAAAGGACAAATGTCAAAACCTCTTACAGCAAAAAAATCGAAACACCTTTCAGGGAAATGTAATCAAAATACCTTTGAAAGATATCTGTTGAATACAAAAAGAGTGGATTTCCGGACCAGTTCAAGAAATTGAAAAAATGAGGCACTTTCCAAAAAGCTGTGTCCCTTTGTTATCAAAGAGCTGATCAAAATGGGTCATAAAGGCCTTCCAAAGTCGTTTAACTTCACTTTCAGATATATGATTTCTTAATTCATGAATTGGAAACCTAGAACACAACAGACCCCTCTACATCAGCCGCTTATATCGACCTGTTCCTACATCAACAGCTGTTTAAGTATGATGATTTCTATTTCCTTATTGTGAATTTTCCATTAGCAACCTCCCTGCATTTCAAATCTACGGTGTTTACATGTCACAGTTGATACAATATTCAGGGGCCTGTTAACATTGTCACGATTTTAGTAATGGAAGTCGTCGACTATGGACATACTCGTAACTTAGGGTCCCAAAATATGCAGGTGCAGGTGAATGTTGTGGGAAATTTTCCGGTCGTTTTAGTGGTATCCTTGAGAAATATACTACAATTCTATACGATATATATAGTGGACATGTGTGATTGTCGTAAGTTTGCTTGTTGGTTCTGTTGTTGAATACCTTGTTCTCGTTTGATAGCGCGGTATGACTTACTTGGATTGACATGATAGGTGTCGTCGATGAGGACGCTTACTTATTCGGGATTCCTTGTCTGTTTTTTAACAATACCTTTTCAGTGGTCTTCGTGTTAATCATAATAATCATGCAGACATGTTGTTATTTTTATGGGTTTTTGTCGAAACTCCCATTGAAATGTAGCTGAATACATCTGGATTGCTAGTCTTACTATTGAGCTTAAGTAAAGTATTGTAGCTCAATCGGGAGGAAAATGGCTTGCCAAAGTGAAACGTACAATGACCATTCTATGTTTCTTGACAGGACTTTTAATCCAGCCGTTGAAGCAAACCGTGTAGAATCAATATCCATGAATAATACTTTGAATTACTCGGGTATGGATAGAGTATGTTCAGGACCTGACGTTGAGCCAAGCGGTTCGAGAAGAATGTATAGAAAGCATTTACATAAAGCACTATATCAATAAGATATACTCAGATAAGGACTATGCGTTTCTAGGATATGAACATATATTGCTCAAAGCGTGAAATGTAATTTTTAGATTTTCCGGCCGCAATTAATTTGTATAACAAGTCAGAAAAAAGACAGAAAAAAACAAAAGAAATCATTCATAGTACATCTTACTAATAAAGTCTTGATTGTCAAACAAGATCATAAGTCTAGATATCACAATATTTCATATCTAAAAGATTGCCAATACAATTGGGTATATCATCTTTAAGTACCAATAATGTTTATAAGATTACATTTAAATGCAAAGTTTATAAGGGATATTGAACAGACGTACTTAAACTTTGAAATACAATGTATTTTGAACAAATTGGTTGTTGGTACATGTAAACAATAACACAACGTTTAGAGAATATTATCTCCTTTGCAACAAATTCACTAACAATGGCATTGTGAAATATATTTTTCTTTATTGAAATTAAACCTGCATTGTTTTCATTCAAATAAGATACCAAACAGCCGGCAGTTCTTTTGAAACTAAAACTTTCGTTTCTCACTTTTTAATAAGGGCGAGCCATGGCTATGGACATATCTGGTGACAATTCCGTTTTTTCAGAACACGTTTCCGCTCTTCAGGCCCAGGTTCTTCTTTGCTTCGATTGACAGATTTCCAATTATCCAACCATTCAAACAATTATTTCACTGTTTCAGGTATGCATCCCCAAAAATTGACGTTATATATTTAATAATGATTATTATACTTCTTACATAGAAGGCAGCATACTTGCCGTTTACCATGTATTATTTGTCCAGTATCAAACAACACCTGCCGCGTAATTCATTCATATCAAGCTATCATCTAACAGCCATATTTTACTTGATGTCTTTAGTCATTAATGAATACAGACAGGCACAGGTTTAGCGGTTGTTAAGTAAATCAGGTCTCCTTTAAGACGGACACGAATCTTCTGTCAAAACATTCCAACTAAAAAAGCGCTTGAATTATTCACTATTTTGGTATGCACACTTATCCATATATATACATAATATGAATATTTTGATATGCCTTTTCGAAATATTTATTTTTGGAAATGATATAACACGAATCGACATTATCAAAGGTTTGAAATGTCAAACGTTGATTTCGTTGAGTAGAACTCGTCAAACAAAACGTGATCAAACGTTTAACTGATCCTTGGAAATCACAAATTCTCTCCGCTCTCCGCTCTACACTGATAACCATAAAACGTGAGTTGCGATGTTTATCGTTTTTTTTCTATTCAAGGAACATTCTTTTTTAAATTTTGTAATTACTGGAACAATAATATGTTACATATATTTTAAACCTATAGCCGATGGTATCTGGCCTATTTTTTTATCCTTGTCTGTTCATGTATTTACACTGAAAAGTGTATAATATCTAGAGTGTTTTTTATCCTTGTCTGTTCATGTATTTACAGTGAAAAGTGTATAATATCTAGAGTGTTTTTTATCCTTGTCTGTTCATGTATTTACACTGAAAAGTGTATAATATCTAGAGTG